AACAGATAAACACGAACCCCACGGCTTTAGATCTTCCCCCTTTTATTTTACAATCTGCTCGTCTGTCTCACTCACATAAAAGTTTTAATCTTCACCTCAGACAGCGACAATCATCTTCCCAGAAGCTCTTAATGTGCAGTTTGTGGCAATTATTACACTACTTATTAATATCTGTTCATCCTGTCATTCAAAATGCTCTTAAACCACAACTGTGTGCATATTGGCTTTAGTTTTTTTATTCAGTTTCTACGTAAGATTTAGTTGTGTACGTAGGATTTTACCGCACATTATAAAGGAAAATCTGTACATTTTGAAGCTGGTATTGGAATGTAGGCATTTGTACACAATATGCAGTTTTATATTAAACCTTTCAACCTTTTTGACTTCTGATCCCTTTTTTAAACAACAGCTTTTATTGCAATTTCTTACCAAGATTTATCTCCTCTAAATTTACTTTAAATTAGTCTTTGTGAACAAAGTGGATATAGTTACCCAATTTCACATAAAAAAAGCAAAATTTGAGTCCAAGCCAAACTTTCATTCATACCACAATCATGTCTTGATCCCCCAAATTTATCTTGTGACCCTTTGTAGAGGCCTGACCCTCAGGTTGGACAACACTGGATTACATTAGCGAAGTCTACCTGAAGTTACAACAGTAAAATGCTGCTTTTACTCTGATGATCAGTATTAAAAATCTCATAATGCCATAAATAATAACAAGCATGTACTTTTACTGAGTGTAGCCCTCTAACTGATAAATGTCTAATAAGTTCAGCTACCTGATCAGAAATGCTTCAAATTACATCTGCATCTCTAAATCCTTAATCTATATTGTTCACTTCTAAAGTTTAGCTGCATGACACAAGGTCTCACTTCATCCAGTGTTTGCAGAACAGAGGTTTCAATATCAAAGTTGTGTTTCAGTTAAGCTTAATTTAAAGTGAGCTCAGACAAACTTTCCTTCAGCAGCTGAACACAAAAACAGCCTTCCAGTGCCTCGCTTTGAACACACATTACTATAAAGGTGAAACATCTATTAAGAAAAGCACATTTTGGACAAGAGGTGAGCTTTAAACAGAACTTTTTAAAAGCCTTTTGTACAGTTTTCCACTGGTGCTACTTCAGCAGCATCCCCAGGCAGGCTCCGACTACATTACTACAAGCTGATTGAACATCTATGTGCAGAAGCAGCTCCCTCTACAGGTATGAAACGGTGCCACTTTTATGGTGGCAGAAATGCCCCCAACCCTCTGTTCAGCCTGCCAACCAACCAACCAACCAACCAACCAACCTGCCATAGACACATATACACACACTTATCCAGACACACACACACACACACATTCACGGTCACAGATATAAGGCCCCCCAGACCTCCCGGGTGATCCGCAGTGGAGCGTGTAGCCACCTGTCAATCACCAGATCTCGGCCGCCTTAAGAGAGACATTTCGTCTGGGACAACGGCAGCCCGTCCCTCCCCATACATTCTGCCTCCCCTAGCAACCATCGCCGGATGACTGAGAGGCTTTGTCCCCTCACAACGGGAGTCCACCATTGAACCCAGAAGCCCGTAGCAACCAGAATTAGAGGGTGCCAGAAAGGGGTCTTTTTCTGTGAAACTGGGGGTGAAAGCTCTGTTCTTGTCCCTACGTCTGGGATTCATATCACGGGCCTGAATGGCGTCCCCTCCTCCTTTTAAATGCTGGTGTAACGGAGCGTATGAAGGGGCTAGCGGTGAGCGGATAGGATCATGGTTAATCTGCTGTTCCTCTCCACTGTGGTCCGATAGGGACACTTAAGCAGCCTCTGTGGCGTGGGGAGGCCCGGAGATACCTGCGGCGGAGCAGAGCTGGGAGGTTCGGCAGCAGGTCGCAAACAGTGATGGACGGTGCTGGAAGAAGCACTGAGATCAGTTACTCAAGTCAACAACAAAAAGTCCAGCTTTCCACATTCCTCAAATGTACTTAAAGTTTAAATAAAAATACTGGTCCTGAAGGGAAAAAAGGCTTCTATGGCTGCTCTGTTATCATATATTGATTGCTTACACTGATGCATTTGTGTGCATGCGACATTTAGCATGTGTAGTTGGTAAATGTGGAGGTTCTACAGTCCTGCAGTGGAGTGTTTTAGTCCAGGAGTTCCCCGCTTAAGTGATGTTCAATGCAGAGCCATTTTAAAACAGTAAAAGCATCAATACCCCAGTCTGAAAATATTCAATTTTATAATAAAGTGCTGCGTTCAAAATGTGACTGACATGCACCAAAGTAGCATCAGCAAAATGATTGATTGTCAGAAGAGGTATAATATATTGCATTACTGTCTATTATCAATGGTGCAGTCACATGCTTGCAGGATTTCACTGCTGCTTCTAAACAGCTATACATATGGTTGGGTGTTTTTTCTATAATGCATCATGTTTCATGAACTGATTTTTTTGCATAAATAATCTGTGACAACCGCTGACCATCGCTGTTAAAGAAATGCAGTGTTGCAAATATTATAATATTTACCTCTGAAATGTGGTGAATACGTACAGAGCAGCTTAAAGATATTGCAATAAAATATCTCAAATTTAGGTTTGGTTACTTTCCATCACTAACTGGGTCACAGAATAAATCTGAGGGTCATTAGATGCTGCAAAATGCACATTTGCAGAAGTGCTTATATATTTTTTTAAACCATTGCCTTCGACAAATTGTCTTAAATGCAACGATCTGAGAAGTTTAGAGGGCGAATTACACGACCGAGCCTGGTGTAGAAATCTGGAGTGTGTCAACTAAAAGCTGCTGACTTTATAGGCGATCGCACGTCAAACAGATTGGGGGCCACTGGTTTAATATTTAAAAGTATTTATTAGATTTTATAAGCTGATGGTGCGTGCAAAAATCTTACTATGTGTGACTAACAAATGCTGTAAAAAGAACAGAACTCCTGGGATGCAGCGGAGTGTAAAACTGCAGAAAATATGTAAAAACACGGGACAGGATTGTCTAGATCTCGGTGGTCAGAAACATTTTTGAAACTCCTGCTGAACGATCACCTTCAGGGGATACCGAAGCTGCACAACGTGTGAACAGATGAAGTATAGAGAGAAAAGGGGCTTGAATAGTTTATGAACAGTTTTATGGACTTGTGGTTACTTTGAAAAGCGCTTTTACTGCTCCCTTTATAACCGAGCGAACACGGACCCCTGAATACTATCCGGCCCACTGTAGATCCTTGTAACTGTAAAGTGAATTCAGGGAAAATTTTACTGCAGAGTGACTGACAGATATCTGTAAACTGTACGACTCCGACAAGTACGACATAATCACCATTAGACACGGTAAGTTGTTTTCCTAGAATAATAGTAAAAAAAAACCCCAATTGAACAAAAAGCCAAATAGCCACAATCAGGTGCTCCACCGCTACGACCTCCCACGTTGCATTTAGCCCTGCAGTGTTCTGTACATTTTACATTGCCACGTATAGAAGATTACAAACTAATCTCAACCTACAAACAACATCGCTGGCATGCAGAGAAAACATGCTTTCCCTGGTATGTTCTTTATCATTAATGAGCGTCTCGGCGGCCCCCTGTATGGGAGTATGTTTTGTGCAAACTCCCGTCCTGCACCCTCGTTCCCACCCTCTCCTCCCCTCCACCTGTCAATCAAGCATCATGATTGAGCCCGGATGGTAGGCAAGTCAGTCACCGGCAATGAAAGTGAGGCCTCCCTCCCCCCTTTCATGCCCCCTTACGTCCTCAAGTTTTTCCATCTCACCTTCTCTGTGGCCTCTTGGTCCCTTTCTCCTCCCCTCCTATGGCCTGTACAGTTTCACCCCCCCCTCCCCTCCATGTGGAAGTCACATCTGTGGCCAGTGAATGCCCAAAGGCCGGTCTTTAAACGTGGGTTTCTCGACGCCACGAGGGCCGGGCTGCCTCAACCTCCCAGAGAAAAGGCCCGGCATCATTCTAAAATAAGTCTGATTTAGTTTTAACAGGCCTCCGCATTTGCCCTTTAAGTGGTTGATGAATAAACATGAGCAGAGTTGGGGCGGGAACGGCATGGGGGTAGGATGAGAAGAGGCCCAGTATATGTGTGTGTGTGTGTGTGTATGCATTGGGTGGGTGAGGGGGGTATCGAGGGCAATAGGGGGAGCCTTTCTTCCCAGCAGGGCTGCATCTCGTTTAATTGGAGCACTTGTGGCACCATTACCTCCTTTACTCAAACACGTTACTGATGACAAAAGAAAACAGCGCTAAGCCTGCCTTTGTTAGCGAGGAGACTGGATGAGGAGATGGATTCCTCGTTGCTACTCATGTGTGGGAATCATCCACACTCCCACCATGAGCTGCTGCTGCTGCCGCCGCCGCCGCCACCGCTGATGCTGCTGCTGCCGCCTTCGTCCAACAAAATGCCACAGACAGGTGGGCAGAAGACGGATAGCACATGGAAGTCCCAGCCGTCATCAGAAAAATGACGAACAGAAGGGCCGCTTATCAGATGCAGAAATAAACGTGCGTGATGGAATTATATTTAGTATCTGTACACCATCTCGTTACATCTCTGGGTGGATTGCTTCCCTCGGTACCGCACATTTCCACCCATCAGTGTGCAGAAAATAGCACCAACAAGCAGCGTGCCCACTGTAGGAATCCTCCCGATCAGCCACTTTTAAAATGATTGACTCCAGCATACGTGTTCAGGCCTGTCGGTGACCTTGCTCCTTTGCTAGCCTTTGACACAAGGTCACGATGATAACGCAGGTCTTTAGTGTCGTTTTGGTCACCACAGTGTCCCGGGAGAGCAATAAGGCAGTGACCTTTACCCTCAGTCCGACCCCCGCTCAGGAGGGGACGCTGAGGGGCTCTTGAATGAGGTAAAATAAATGACCTCCTTTGCTTCTCATTTGGTAAATCTTGTACATTTAATCCATTGTTTTGTGTAAAATGTTGATTTCTTAAAGCGCTGGATTAAATAGCTTTAAAAAAAAAAAAAAAAAGTACAACACACTTTATGTAATTACAACAGTTTATTAATAATTCTCAAATAATTTTCAAAATTACATTACAATTAAACCTTTCAAAATAGTATGACAAATAATGTGCTGTGTACAATGTCTAAATATACAAAGATCAGCTGGTGACAAAATCTTTTTGCTTGCAGATCGACAATGTGGATAAAAATATCACATAACACTTTACTTTAACCTCATGTTTAGCATTTATCAGCAGTATTTAAGCATTTGTTGAGGGGTTTGTGACACATTGTAGTTATCATAAGTGTATTTATCAACAACTACTGTAAGCAACAATAATTGGAGATAATAAATGACGATATAAAAACACTTAAAATGAGCTACACTTGAGTGTCTTCTAAACCTTTTATTCAGTGTTTGTGTATTAAGGTAAAGTGTTACTAAATATTCATTATCTCACAGCATAACTTAGTTAAAAAAAAAATCTCACAGCTTTTATTTTTTTTTAAATCCATAATCAGTCACAGGATAAATAACTCTCATTGTAAAAATTCTCAATGAAGACACACAGAAGTTCATTTAGGTTCTGTTTCAAAGGATGAGACGTGACTCTGGAAATAAACGCCGAACAAAAGGAAGCCGAGAGCAAAACCCGTTTGAAAGTTCTGCGTGTTAAAGCTCCTGAAAGTGCAACTTAAATTGTTTTGAAGCAAACATAATACAAAAGGTGGTTTTAAATAAGGATAGAAGTTACGATTGAGGGGAGTTTTAGTCCAGCGCTGAGTCATTACAATTGAAGACGAGTGTGATAAAGGTGGAGGCTGATGAAGATGGAGGCCTAAAGTCAGTTCTGTTCCATGGTGAAATTTGACTCCGCTCTGGAAAACATGTAATTACATAAAGTGTGAGAAAACACTTTGTAGAACTTGTAGCTCATAGCGTATAAACTATATGTGGTTGCTTGCAGTTAAAAAGCCTTTTAGTGACTGAGATTTGGCCCGTAGACGTTCCTGCACTGGGTGGAACTAATCCGACAGGAATCAACGGGTCATGGTGTCTAATTGTATCATTTTTATTTCCTCTGTAAACACGACTTCTCTTCTGTAACTTCAAGGTCACTTTGAAGAGCCAAACAGGTGCAGCCGTGCTGTCAAACCGTCCCCCCTCATCAACAAACTGCACAGGTGAGCTGCACGTGTTAACACTGAGCACATGGATCAGTTCTTCATAATCCGGCCCGCACCGACTGGTGGAGGCAGCGTCCGTGTGTCTGTGGTGTCATGATACAACCACATCCTCACCTTGTGTTCGCACTGTATTCAACACTATCAAAAGATATTGCCAACAAAGGGCAGGACGTGCCAAATTGGGCTCTGCTGCCACCAAGAGGACACTGAACGCAACATGGTCCCTCCACAACAAAGACAGTAGCTGCATTGTGTGCTCGCTACGAAAGCGGCACACGACCAGAAACAAGCACATACTTACACGTCTTTGTTTATCGCGTGGTTGTTGTACTGCAGGACCGGTGGGACGCTCTCCTCGTCTTCTGGCAGCTGCAGAGAGTTAAAATATACAAACAACTGTCAGCAAAATGTGAGATTTTATGTTTGCTTGTTATGTCAAAAAAAAAAAGGGAAAATTGTGAGCAGTGTTTTTTGTAAACACAGTCGATTGAATGATGGTGGCATATTTGGTGATGGTTGGAAAAAAGAGCATCGGGGCAAGAAACACAAAACAAGGAAATGTTTCCAACCTCAAATATCATGAAACCGCACCCGTAAATCAAAGTCTGCGCACAATTTATGTACATTTAGCTCAAATACTTGAATCCGTTTGAATATTTTCATCATTTGTCAACCCCTCAAAAGCACCATTCAAATTAAATCAGTCAAACATGTATATTCGTTTGATATCTTGAATTCATTTTGTAGCTGATCCGATAAGCTATTCCCATAGAAATCTCTTTGTAAATGTACACATCTGTGGCTCACCTCCCAGTAGGGCTCATCATCAAAGCAGTTATCATCTGCAGCATCTCCCCAGATGGGTAATCTTAAGATAAAACCTGAGAAGAATACGATTAAAGTCATTGTTCCAACACACACTGTGCGTAAACACACCTGCCTTATGCAAACGCAGCAACATCGCACTTATTAACAAACAGTTATTCTGTCCAACTAATGGGTGTTTGATAGGCCGAGCAGAGGTGTGTTCCCTACCGACGAGGATTCCTCCGCCTACACCGAAGCAGATAGCCACACAGAGGCCTGCCGCCTGGTGACCGCCCTGCTTTGTGGGAGCCATGTTTTTATATTCACCCTCGAAGTCAAAGGTGTTAATCAGCCTTTAATAGAGAAAAAAAAACAGAGAGGGAGCTCACCATGTTGTCCTCTCAGAGCAGAAAACACACAGACATTCCTTCTTGTTCACTCAATGCTTGATCATCTTTAATCCGTTTAATAAAGAAAAATAAAACCACTTCCAGCTGGTTTTATGTTGGGGAGTGGGTGAAACTCACCCTTCAGCTCCATAAACCGACTCTGATGCAGCTGCAGCGGTAATGGCCCCCACGATGCCGCCTATGACTCCTGGCATCGCGTGGAGGTTGTGGATTCCACACGTGTCCTGGATCTTCAGGTATTTCTCCATGAACGGCTGGAAGAAACAGAAGAGGGAGCTGCTGATGAAAAAACACAACCTTGTTTGACTTGGGATTAAAACAGACGATTACCGACTATAGAGCAGCGAAAACAGTAGTGGCAGATTTAGGAAAACACCCTCTGTGCTCTTCAATCAGCAAATGAACACGAAGAGAAAACATTGGGCACATTTTCATATGGCTGGAGTGTTACCCATTTCCAGCTACGTGCTTGTAAACAGCAGCTTATCTCATAATAGGTAGAACACAATGAAACAAGAGAAACCCTATACCGTGAGGTAGATATATCCCAGCGTGGAGATGATACCGCAGCAGAACCCAACGATAAGAGAGCCGTAGGGCATCAGCATGAACTCTGCTGCTGTTCCTACTGCAACGCCTCCAGCAAGTGTGGAGTTCTGGATGTGAACCTGAGGAACAGACACAGAAAATTAATAACAGGAGGATATCATCTGAAGTATGCATTTACTGAACGATGCGTATCAGTTGGATTGCTGAGGTGGGACAAAAGTCATGCAAGTCGTGGTTTAACAAATATACACATCTCACATTATCACATCCATCGCCCATAATCACTTTATTACTTTGCGTTACCATGTCTAGTTTCCCGTGCTTCTGGAAGAGGCTGGAAATAGCCACAGTGGTGAGCACGGTGGAGGCCAAAGCCAGGTAGGTGTTGATGGCGGCTCTGTGCTGCCCGTCCCCGTGATCCGTGATAGCTGAGTTGAAGCTGGGCCAAAACATCCACAAGAAGAGGGTGCCTGTGCATAAAGCAGAGTGGAGATAGTGGTGAAACTAATACCTCCAGATTAAAAGGGAGGTATTATGAGAGTAATACAAAACAAAAAAAAATCTCAGACTATGTGCCGTTATCTACTAAATCAGGCCCACCAATCATAGCAAAGACGTCTGAGTGGTAGACCGAGCCCTGCAGACGGCTGCTCTGGTCCAGGTTCGGCCGGTAGAGCATCCATGATATGGAGAGACCGTAATATCCTCCGAACGTGTGGATCACCATGGAGCCTCCAGCGTCTCGGGCCTTCAGGAACAAAAGTGTTCGCATTAGTTTTAGGTGCAGTGGTTACAATAAGTATGCTATTAAATATTCACTTAAAAACATAGTGCAAATTTTAATATCTTGCATAATGAGCAGCTATTTTGAGTTTCTCTCCGTTATTCTCAATTTTCTATTGTAAGAAGCAAATTCTGAGTTGTTTCCACCCCAGCTGAACTCCTGTAGTGTCATGTCAGAGTCTGTGAGACTATAAGGACGCTACTCAGTTGTTATTTGCAGCTAGATGGTTGCATTCATTAGAATTAAAAAAAAAAAACTTAAACAATGTACACGTCCGACATCCAAATATGTTGCAGCATTTAGTTATGTGATTCCACGTTAAGAATTTAAGGATATCTGTAACAACAAATGCACAAGTCTGACTACTACATCCCATGTTTAAGTGGAGTGTTTATTTAGTTATAACACGAATGTCAGCAAAGCCACATGATGCTCTCATCTTTAGTGATACAGTCGAGCATTTTGCACTGTTGTATAATATATATGTTGCCATAACTTACATGTATGAGATCCAGGATGATATATTCCTCCACAGCGAACAGTGTGATCCCAAACAACGTCAAAACCATCAGCTGGACTGGACTGACTTTACCCAGCACTGCCCCGTAGGCAATTAAGCAGCCGGCCACGCAGAAATCTGCATTGATGAGGCTGAGGAGGACAAACAGGACAAGGTCTTATTATTTCTGTGATATTATTCAGTAAGCGGGCACGTTTTAAGTTACAGTATTCTGAACCAATGTTAAACACATCTAGCTCGCCTTCTTCTCTTTCCCTTACACACTCTTAGGTGAGCTCACTTATCATATCTTTTGACAAACAGCGGCTTGGCTGCACTCCAAAAGTATCATCGTTTCTCATCAACCTGTGTTTCTGTTTACCTTCCAAACACAAACATTAAATCTAACGTGCCTGGAAATATCCTTGTATCCGTCAGACTGGTTTTACCGCCTCATTTTTCTCTTCTGGAAACCATGCAGGTGGAAACATATTCCCACAGGACAATAATTAAACTAAACATGAAGAACTGAATGATGTCACCTGCTATACATTTACACAGGTGTGACCTTTTATGTAATATGACCGAGTCACAAGTTCCCATTGCTTGTTGTATACCAACATCATATTGAGTAATAAGAAGGGATCCTTTTAAATCATAGGCTGTGTAATTGAATAATTACCTCTCAACTCCAATTTTGATTTTCCCATCGGTGTAATCCAGAGAGTGGAACCAGCCCTGCATCAACAGCGCCCACTGGAGACCGAAGGCAGCAATGAGGAAGTTAAAACCGACTGCACCGAAGCTGTAGCGCTTCAGAAACGTCATCAGGAAGCCGAATCCAACAAAGATCATCACATGCACATCTTGGAAACCTAGCAGAAAGACAACATGAGGATGGTGACAGGCAATGAAACTGTGGGGGAAAAAAAGAGGAGGGAAAAGTAGAGGGGCTCGGGCAATAATGTAGAATCAAGCACTTTTCGTGTGGTGGTGTAATGTTCTCTACTTCTTGGTGTTAATGTCCGCTCTCAGTGCACACAAACACAAATCAGGTGTAAGTAAATGTTTTCAGGGGCTGCCTGTGTGTGCTGAGTTATACCCACTGTGGTAAAATCCATGAGCGAAAGGAGAAGGTGAGAGGAAACGTCTTCCAGTGTGATCCAAGCAAATCAGAAACAACAAACCATCCAAGGTTGAGAAATCAAATAAATATTTGGGAATCGAAGGATGCAGGTAAAGGTACTTTTCCTCTGTCATGCTGGGATGTTTCCTCTCTTAATGAGCATTTGTCAAGGCACTGTGGTTTCTTGTACAAGAGCAGATAAAAGAGCTTGAAAAACATTTTTAAAAAACTAGGTTATTATTACTATTATGCTTATTCTTGGTTTATTTCATATACATTGTGTCTCTTGATGAAGTTTGACTGTATATCAGACAAAAATGCACCATATGAACAATCAGCTGTGATACCCTTACGCCACAACACCTGGTGTCTTCGAAATAATTACTTACATAATTATGATTGAATCGATGTGACGGTGGAGAAACCGTATACAGACAGTTTGCTTTCAAAACATGTCGCCGCTGTGCAGGTTACATGAGGGCACGTACGCCAAGAGGGCCAGATCACGTGAAGTCGACTCAAGGACGTTACAGCGTGTATTTACCGTCACTTGGTCATTAGATGTTGATATGTTATGATGATACCGAGTTATGTCACGATACCTATACAGGTACAAACCCCTGAGGGCCCACAGGAACTAAAAATATTCCAACAGACATGACTGCGGAAAACATGAAGAAGGCAGCTTTACATTAATACCTTAGCTAAATCACTTATACACCCAGATCCATAAGGTAAACACTTGTGTATAAATAACTGTAATTACAAACTAAATGCTTGATTTCCAACTAAGCAACTCAATCTGCCAAGCAAGGCTGTTAGATGTGGTTGAAAGTTGCAGAAACAAAAAGTTTGTATATTAACATTTGCTAAAACACTATACACACATTCAATCTGAACTGATCTGTTGTTGTTGTTGGAAATTAACATTTACAGCAACAAGCAGAACAGGCGGTTCTTTCTTGTGAGATTGCTCAAATGATATCTCTTATATCCAGTTAACAATATGTGGATACCAGCATCGACCAGACAGTATTATTTACAAATGAAACACCGCAACTTCCTAAAATGTCCCACGGAACAATGGGTTCCCACTGTACCATGAAACACTATAGTTTCCACTGAAATACTGTATTTGCAAAGAACAACTATGTGTAGTAAATATGATAACACATCGGCGTGAATGCTTTTTTTTTTTTTTACAGTCAACAAAGGCTTCAGATGTTTCTCACTGTCCTGCTGTCAATACGGACAGTGGACGCTGCGTTGAAAAACAAGGCCTCGGTGTCACGCACTAAACTGTGTCAGCATGTACATTTATCATCTGACATTCAACACCACATGTGAGATGGTTTTGTGATAGCCTGACACCGACACCGTGGGTTGCTCGGTTAATGTACAATACGCTACCACACCCAAACAATACACTCTCACACACACCTTAATATTAAAATCCAAAAAATCTATATGGCCGAAATTAGACTTTTTTTTTTTTTCTATCCAGACAAAGACATGTCAGCTGTAGTTAAACTGGAAAAAAAAACCTCAGGGGTGTCAATCCACAAGGGAAATATGGGCCTGCGGGTGTCAGCAATGAAAGAATAATCTGAAAGGTCAACACAATCTCAGAACTAATATCCACTCTGTAACTCAAGAAAAATAAACAGTTTATTCTAATGAGAACAGATCAGTTACAGTGTTTGTAAAATGATTTTAAAAAACAAACATTTAAATGTGCATAAATGTGGATAAATCTAAATATTAATTAATGGTTTCAACACAAGTAAAGATTTAAACACTTCTAGATGAACAAATTAAGAGGTAAAAGTGATAATTCAGAAATCTGAAGAGCACATTAGAAAAAGATGAGAAAACATCATCACTTACTTGGATATCTGAAGTAGAAGTCATTCTCAATGTCACTTGCTATATTTTTCTCTTTTTTGTACTCTACCCAGTGTGCGTCTGCTTCCTCGTTGTATCGAATAAAAACTCCAAACAAGATGATCATGGCCGTCTGCCACACGAAGCAAACCGCTGGAAGACTGAGGCGGACGTTAGTGTTTTTTGGACGGTCGCACATCTCCCTGAAGCTCTGAACTGCACCCATTGTTACTTTAAAGCTTTTCCCGTTTTCTAAGGTGTCTCTGAACGGCTGAATTATTCAGGTGAGCCGCCTTCTGCAAAAGTGACAGACGCTGTCGAGGCCTGAGCATCTTAAGTTCAAGGTGGGAGTCAACTCCAAAGACACGAGCACAGCCCCTCCCTCCACATGGACTGTACTTGACTCCTCTCAGCCCCTGAGGACACGTGCTTTGCTCATGTTTAGATGTAAACTATTTAAATCTAATGGTATGTTTTAATAATACATTTTACATCTTGAATTTTGAATACACAATACTGCAACATCAAATTCTTCTGCTAGTGTAGATTTGTGATCAGGTGAAATGTGCCTCGTATCCTGATCAAACTGGAAAAATATGACACCACATTGTATAAACAGATTGGTTGTACTCTTCTTCTTCACAAGCTTGATGTCAATTAGTGATTACTTGTGAAATAATCCTAGAAACTCCTCTCTTAATGCAAATACTCTTTACATGTGAAGCAAAAACTGTCATTTCTGTAAAACGCATGAAGCATGTTTCTTTAGCAAATATACAGACAGACTTTTACAGTACTTGTGATTTAAATTTTTTTTCTACTTCTAGTCACTGAGAGGAGACGGGCTGCTCCTGTGAAGCATTAACTGTAAATAATGTGTATGTGTGCTGGGCCCCATTAGAAAGATGCAAGACAGGTTTGACTCAGTCAACCGTCAGAGGCGTAGAGTTCAAGGTTGAGACAAGTGTCTAGCTTTGTTTTTGTTGTTGTTGTTATTAAAAAAAAAAAGAAGCAAGTCCAGGCTTTTTGTACAGTCAGATTGCAATATTGTGAATTCTACTTGAATTCAAGTGTTCAAATAACTGAAAAAAACATGAAAAGTTAAAACTGTAATAATCAACTTGCATCACTTAAAACTATGCCGTTTAGTGCCATATAAAAATACTTAATATGCATTATGATGAACATTTGTTGAGAAACAGAAACTAAAAAGATTGTGACATTAGACATACCAGCATCCTCAACATTCCTGTAAATAACACTAATGTTCAATGGTTCTTATTTAAATTTAACTGATTCTTTGCATTACTAGAGTTGTTTGCACCATTACAGCTATTACTTTATTTTACTGTATATTTATTGTTTACTCTATACGCATTGTTTTGTTGCACCAACCCACCAGAACTTCCAGAAGAAATTCCTCGTATTGTGTGAACCATACCTGACAATAAGTCTGATTCTGATTTAGCTGTAGGATCCAGAAGATTGAGACTAAGATCCCGCAAACAATTGTGTTTCATTCACGAAGAATGATTTAATATTGGAAAGTGATAGGAATAGTTAAACATTCTGAAATGTACGCATATTCCTCATTTTTGTTGAAAGTTAGCAGCTTGATAAGAGGGAGCGTGATGAGGTCGTGTCTGCACAGTAAATATGCCAGTTAATTTAGTTTAATCTAAGAACAGGAAACTGGGGCAAACAGCCATCCTGACTCTGTGCAAAGACACCAAATCCACCTCCCAGAATCTCTAATGTGCATGTGATAGCTAATATTTTTAACATATATAAAAACAGAAGGGTACAAACAGCACGGTGACATTTTGTAGTGTCTTCAGAGGTGGAGTTGGTTTGTTTTTAACTGTTTCCAGGCATAATGCTAAGCTAAGCTAACCAGTTGTTGGCTCCACCTTAAGGGTCAAGAATGGAAATAAACATATTTCCCCAAATGTCAAAGTTTCCCCTTTATATGTAAGAATAGTTGGAAGAAAAGTTTTTATATTGTAGTATTTCCCGCAGCTTCAGTTTGACCACAACAGTTTTGAAGCTTCTCACTTTCTCACTGTGATGATTTACAGTAACTCTCAAGAGCATGACTTTGCATGACTTACCACCCACAGCAGGAACAGGGTGAACGTACACACATGGACGGCGATCCAGACCTACCTGTCCTGTACTTGTATGTCACGTAAGGAAAAACAAATACACGGGACTTGAGAAAACACGTCCGCTCATAAAAGGTCATGCGCCTGTCGCTTTCCGATGAAGCTGGGACGACTAACGCACACAATGAGAAGAAAAGTAATGTTAGATGCCTGGCGTAAATATTCTGCAATAAAGTGCTAAATGCAGGTAAGTCATGTCCTAAAATCATTACTGATTAAGAATTAGATGTGTGTTTTTGTCTCATGTACCATTGCTTCAGCAAAAATACATTTGAAAAAAAGAAAAACTGCTTGCCAAAAACAGAACAATAGATGGATGTGAATTAAAAGTAGATAGAAATTCATCTACTAACTTAAAGGTAGATTGTTTTACTCCAACTTCACTATGAATATGAAAAATAATGGAGGATGATGCATAAACTAGTAGATTTTTAGCATTTTGAGGTCAACAATATACAGTTTAACAGTTGTATAGTTGGTTACCAAACACTTTTCTACACACTATATAGTATATGTGAGTATGAGACAGCTATATCAGCGAGCATCACAGCAATCATATTATTTACTTTATTTATACATACACATATCACATTTGTAGTCACTAAACAATCCAAGCGGAAGTGTCCTGGTAGTAATTAGATATCAGACTGGTCAACAGCCCTGCAGTATGACTGGAAAACGGCCGTGAAGCTGACTCACAGCAACGACTAAAACAGACGTCCTTGCTTATTAGAGCGACACCAGTGATCCAGCCGGTGCTTTAATTTTAAAACTGAAACGTGCCTTATAAACCACAGAACACAGAACAGAAAATCAGACATTTAAAAGACTAAATTACACCCAAAAGAAGCATGAAAATTACCTAAAAAATACAACCAGAATGTAATGCTTGTGTATTTTTACTACCAACTGGCATCGGCCACTTTATTAGTTACACCTTGTTAGTACCGGGTTAAGCTGCCTTTGGTGTTCAGAACTGCCTTAATTCTATTCTACTGACATGGCAGCATTGCACAGTTTGCTACAGATTTGTGAGCAGCAGCACCTTCATGATGCCAAACGTCCTGCTGCGCCTCATCCCAAAGGCGATCTATTGGATTGAGATCTGGCAACTGTGGACACCATTAGAGTATCATGTTCAAGAAGCCAGTTAGAGATGATTTGGGCTTTGAGACATGACTGAAAGTCACCTTTAGAAGAGATGGACGTGGTCAGCGACGTGCCTAAATACAGTATCTGGTTGATGAGTGTTGCCCTAAAGACAAGTCAAAGTGGTTAAATAAGTGTGATAAGATCCACGTATCATAAATAGACTATGGCACTGCATCAAACATAATATATTCGTCAAGGCATCCCAAAAATGACTGTAAAAGACCTGTTGTCAAACTATCACCTCACAGGGAGAAAAATGAGCAAGTCAGCAGCTAAACATAAAGATCAATGCTCTGTTGTTCACTCACCAATAAGGAAGCTCATTAAAACGAGGTGATGATGTGCTACCTTGGTGATGTCACTCTGGCGGATGATGTGCTCTCCAGGGACGGTGTGTAGCATTGATTCATCACTACAGTGAGATTTGCATCTCCAGGTTCAGCTACGATGTTGTAACTTCATAATGACCGAGGAAGTATTAATTTTTCTTTTAGTAAAAGGTTACGATGCAGAATAAAATTCAGCTCAGTGTGAATATTTTATCATTGATCCTAAGTAGAGTGTTCAATGCTTTACTATGCATTCAGTTGTTCTTCAATTTCATGCGCAATTCTTCTAATCCGTGTGCAATATTTCAACTGTTTGCTAATTTATTACTCTAGTTTAGGCACATGTATGTCTCTTTTACACAGTACTATTTACTGACATAGTACTTTTATACTTTTTACATATAATATTTTAGTTAGAATTTGTTTAGATTTCTATGTCTTGCTGTTGTTGAACACCACAGTTTCATTCACCATGTCAAATTCCTTGTGTGTGCGAGCTCACTTGGCAATAAAAGCTTTCTGTATTCTATTCTGTATTTTGTAATGGGGACATACTGGTACTGTTAGTGCACATGTCTTTGGCTGAGACCTGCGACAGTCAAAGTAAACCAGTGTTGGGTAGCAAATAAGGATGAATTTTGGACACTTGAGCAAATACCTTGAGTTGTTTTTAACCTTCAAAGTGTTTTTCAGTTGTTCTTTCACGTTGCTGTCGCCATCATCAGTCACTTCCAGGGTACCACTGTTGTGACTGTTTCTCTTTGCTTACACGGGATTAGCCTGAAGGCAACACGTGCCGTATTGTTTCAACCTCATTCTCCCTAAATGCCCATGAATTTACACTCAACACATCAGCCGGATAACCACTTCTTTGATAAAAATGCCCCACCTCGCTCTTTCTGTTATTATGTCAATAAACATTAGACTTTTCGCCGCTGATATTCTGAATCCTCACGTTACAAAAACACTAATGATGGCTCTGATCCATCAAGCCTTAGCTTCCGCTTTGACAGGGAAAATAATGTGTTGTATCATAATAATGGCAATGATTTACATCAAAGACCCAACTTCAAAAATAATAAAACACTTTCAACATTTTATTTGATACCAATTTTTTGATCAAAGCGCATCGTCATTTATAAATACAATTATGGCAAATCTTAACCTCTTTAGTGTTCAGTGAAGGCTTTGAAACACATTCAGTTTGATAGTTGTGCTCACATCCAGTGCAATATTTAGTTCAGGTACAGGACATTAGAATAGGCTCTTAAAAAAATCTAACTCAATTCTAGTCACTCAAACAAAAAGGACACTGAAAACTGTATTACATGTAGCTTTCATCACAGTTCGTCTGTACCTTCAGCGCAACAGTTACCACATTATCTATGTATCATAAACCCATTAAGTGACTAGTAAGCTGCTGCTCCAACCTGTGAAACTCATCCTCAGGCAGAAGATACCTCTGTATTATCCCGATGACATCTTTCTCAGTCGTGAGCTCATAGTCCTTCTGGTTCTTAAATGGCAAATGTCCAGCCAGCTCGCAAAGAGCAACGTTGAAGGCAGATTCCTCTTTGGCACCAAAGCAGGATATTCTAGGCCATACTGCAACACGCACGCCTTTTCTTGCACAGTGATCTTCTTCACTCTGCGTGCGATCGCATGGCGGACATCCCCGAGTCAAGAACATGTTGTGAGCAATATTACCGCCCACCAGAGAGTCTGTGACTTGACAGATGGCACTTGCTACTTTCTCCACCTCCTCTGATTCTGTGTAAAACAAAAAGCCGCCAGGGAAGTCCGGCATGAGATAAAATCCTTTTTCAGGAACTAAAGGCTTAACTGGAGTGGATTCTATCTTTAGTTCGTGGTCCAGGTAATATCCATGGAGGTGTAAGTGATTGACAGACGCGAAAGCTCCGAGACTGTTGAACCCGACACGGAAACCAGGGTCGGAGCTCAGGAGCACAGATTCAATACCGACCTTGATAGCGAACCTTGTCAGGATCTGTGGGTAACAGCGTGAGGGATCTGGAACAAAGAGACAATGTCCAAACTCCAAAGGGCTGACATTGACCAACACTACCATCCCACAGGGTTGAGGTAACTGTCTATTGTCAGGCAAAGCTGTGTGTCCCTCTGTGTCCTTTATCATCTCAAATATGATTTCATCTGGGTTGATTTTGTTAAAATTAAACTGCCTGGCATTGAACTCCTGCTGAATGCTCAGTATCTCCTGAGGCTTCCTTCTCTCCAGTCCTCTTTGAACATTCAGCTGAGCCACAAAGCCATGTGGACCCGGCAGGATACGAGTTTGCAAATCACCCAGGTGGTAGCGGAAGAGACCCCTGTCCATCCTGTCCGTCCAGCCAGCTTGGATGGTTGAGTCAAACTTTGTTGGTGGCGATGCCGTCGCTGGACCGGTTCCATCACTCCGGCGCACATCAGTGACAAAGTCCTCGTGGTTGTACGCAAACTGGAGAGGCATGGTTGGATCTGTTCATGACCAGTGAAACAGGGAGGCATGAGATCTGACAATAGCGTTTACTGTGGGAGGTCAGTTAGGAGTCATCCTGCTGAATCATCAGAGACAGAGCCTGGTCACATGTGGAGCCTGAGAACATGAATTACTCTGCTGTCAGTGTTATTGAAAAACTAAATCACTGTTAAAGCATGTGTAGATTCTCAGTCTTCCAGATCATGGTCACTCTAAAAGCTTTAGTAAAAAGCAGCTGGACAAAAAAAAGTTGATTTTTACTGAAGCTCTTAGGATGTGTCATTATTTAGTTTATTTATTATCTAAACAGCTATTCCCCAAATAACAGGTTGACATATTCAGAATGATTCAAAAGCCTTACTCTCATATTAGACAAAGCTGCAATGATTAAATCGATTAATTGACAACTTTAAAAAAATTTTTTTTTAAATACATTAATCAGCTCGAGTAATATTCTGAAGAACTAAAGTTGACATTCTTGGACACCTGCTTCTTAAATACAAACATTTTCTAGCTTGTTTCCTCCTCTATGACTGAATATATTTTGGTTTTGGACAAAAAAAAGACATTCATGGAAGTCATTATGGGCTTTAGGAAACACTGATTGACATCCTTTATCATCTTCTGACATTTTATAGACTAAACAACAAATCAGTTTATCAACAATGAAAATAATCGTTAGTTGCAGCCCTAATTTAAGAGAAAGGAACCAATAAACATTCCCCTTTGGATAAAATATATAACTAGTTGACAGAGTTACTTTCAGAAAATCCCAGGTGTAAGATACTACTTCTACACCAACAAAGGTTTGTGACAGAAATCAACAACCTGTTCTACATTTCACACAGTTTTTACACACAGTTATGCTCGTTTCATTGAATGGTGACAGAAGCATGAGTTGATTTATTTTATAGCAGCCTCACCTGTTTTGTTCTTTTTTTGGAAACCGAGTCAAAGTCCGCGTCCTGACACCACCAGCTGACTGACCACCCTTTAAAAAGGCACAGCTAACTGTTTTTCACATCGGCACAAATAGTTTTTATCCATATTTCTCCAACGCCGGTTAGCTTAGCTAGCTAGCTGTCTTCCTTAGCAGCGTGTTCTTCTTCGTCGGTGTTTGTTTGTCTACTTCCGCTTCCGCTTGTTTTTCCAGAATGAAGCTTTTTATAAAAATGTGTATTTGCGTAATGCTGGAGTTAAAAAACATTTTATGTAACGTGTCAGCATTAGTATAATTGCATTTTTTTCATGGCTTCATTTATGCATTAATTGCAATTTTAGCAGCAGTGTTGTGTAGTGTAGTAGTAGATGGCTACAACACACTGGCAAACAGTAATGTCCCATCCTCTACATATTACTAAACACAGATCACTGCAGATTTTACATACTTACGCTAATAAAAGCATTCATAAATTGTTGGTTGACTGTTTGTTCAAGGCTGTATTTGTTCTATTAATATGTGCCCATATATATAAACCCCCACCTCCAATAAACACACACGCAAAGGTAATATTTAGAGGACATCTAAACTGTAAAGTAATATGTTAAGCCTTCTTGTGAAAGCAATAGCAGGGGCACAATGTTTAACTGCTGAGCAACTTTCCAGTTTTTCCTCGCTGACCCATGTAGGCCAAACTAATTTTGAAAGAATGAGCAGCTGTCCAATCAGGCACCATGCTTATTTTAGTCACTGCATGCTTTTGGAGATAAAGTAGGCAGTGACTGGCAGAGCTGTGTATGTCTGCCTTAGAGTTTTGGGACTCACCACACTGGATACATCTGAGCTACCCGACTGAGAACGTTGAATTTTGAGCTTTCATTTATTGCTCATACATCAGTTCAAGTAAGAGAAAAGATGGAAGCTGGCAAAAATGACGTAAGTACAATTCTGGTTGAATACTTCACTAATCTCACCTTAAAAGTTATACTAATGTAGCATGTAATTAATTTAACAGACCTTGGAATTACTTTTAGTTTGCTGATCTTTCCTTTTTGTGTCATACTAAAGTGAAATATTCGCTGAGAGCATTAAGAGTCAGGTAATAATAGACTTTCATCTGTTTAGCAGAGCAGATGGTAGTCTAGTCCACCGTGCCTCTAGTTATTTTTAACACCATCAAGAGTCTCTCTTACGAACATACACACTAACACAGCCTACAAACTTGTTGCTGACTTGTTTTTCAAACTCCTGTTATGGCTAAATAGGCTATGTATAACATATTTTAATGTGGACATAAAGCTGCCCTCTATTTCCAAATAACAAAACAACATAACGGTCTTAAAAACAGGGAAACACCACATTGCCCTAGTTAAGAGTTTGCTTGTGTTTAGTGTCACTTTCTCTGACAGTTTTGTGACATTGTCTCTCGTAGATGGGAAAGAAAACAGAAGACAAAGCTCAAAATCTAAACATAAGTATGACTCAGGATACTGATGCAGGGGTTTCCCAATCATCCCCCACAGTCACTGCCCAAGGTATGTCATGCATTTATCCCATCACTTCGTAGCCTAGATATACTATATATTGTAGTATATATTCATACTTTGTTTAAAAGTTTGAAAGTCTTTAAAATGTTTTTAAAATAAACCCAAATAACATGTATCTATGTGCTGAAAAGTATAACGGTATAAAGACCTTTGAGGTTAGATCATTTTGTTGTGCATGTATCTATAATTCAAGAATAAAAATGTATTTTGAGATAGGCATATATAGGAAGTACACTGGTTTAAGCCCCAGTTTCATATTTTTAGTTTTGTCAGAACAATATTTAAAGAAATCCTCAGACAACGTTATTTTGACGGAATTAAAATACAGAACGTCATTTTTTTTTCCTTACAGGCTAAACTTTCAGAATACACCAACAACTAAATGCATATTAAATGATTTGTTTAGATTTTAATTTGGATTCCATCAACATGATCCATGTTAACTGAAATGCATAACATATGAGTTTCTCTGCACAGTGATTCCATCTAATAATACACTTATTTAACTCTTTTCTCTCCACTCTCCAGGCCAGTCTGCTGCTGCTGCTGCTGCTGCAGAGAATCTCAACTCTCAGGTCCAACCCACCTCTGACACAGATAAGGAAAACGCTGTTAAGCCAAATCTCCAGATCACGTTTAACACATTCACTGTAAAGAATGGTGCAGATCTCAAAGTAGAGATCCCAGTGTCTGGGCATCCAGCTCCTAAGATTGAATGGAAAAAAGACGGTCAGGCAGTTAAAGAAACATCAAGGCTGGAGCTCTCAACTACAGCATCATTAACAGTCCTTCATATCCGGCATGCTGCCAGGGAGCACTCTGGTCAATACTCTGTCACAGCAAGCAACAGTGCTGGAAAATATACAGGAGAAATCACTGTGGTGGTTCTAGAAAAGCCAGATTCACCTACAGGTCCTGTGAGGATTGATGAGATCAGTTCTGACTATGTTACCATCTCTTGGGAGCCACCTGAATACACAGGAGGATGTCAGCTAGACAACTATGTGGTGGAGAAACGGGAAACTACCAGTACAGAGTGGCAGACCGTGTCAGCAACAACAGTAAGAACCACAATCAAAGTTACCAAACTGAAGACAGGAAGCGAATACCAATTCAGAGTGTTTGCAGAAAATAGGCATGGAAAAAGTGCTGCAATCACCTCCCCTATTGTGATTGCTCAGTATCCATTTAGTGCGCCCGATGCTCCTGGCAGCCCTTTTGTGTCAACAGTGACAAAGTACAGCATGGTGGTGGAATGGGAGCCTCCAGGCAAAGACGGAGGCAGTCCAATCATCGGCTATCACCTTGAACGTAAAGAGAAGAACAGCATTTTATGGACCAAGCTAAACAAGTTTGTTATAACTGACACTCGCTTCAAAACAAGTGGGCTGGCGGAAGGCATTGAGTATGAATTCAGAGCCTTTGCTGAAAACATCGCTGGACTCAGCCCATCTAGCAGGATATCTGAATGCTATGTAGCAAGAGACCCGTGTGATTCACCTGGTAAACCTGAAGCTGTTGTCATTACCAGAGAGAACATCACACTTCAGTGGGCAAAACCAAAGTATGACGGTGGAAGCACCATTACAGGGTATGTTATTGAAAAGAAGGAGCTCCCAGATGGCAGATGGATGAAGGCAAACTTCACCAACGTTATTGAAAATTTGTTCACTGTCACAGGTCTGACGGGAGGTGTAAGCTATGAGTTTAAAGTTACTGCTAAGAATGCTGCTGGTGTTTGGAGCCCACCTTCAGAAAGTGTAATCATCACTGCTCAGGATGTTATTGAAGGTCCCACCGCATCCATTGATCCGAAGTTCAAGAGTACCACTGTGGTTCAGGCTGGAGAGACATTTATTATTGATGCTGATTACTTTGGGAAGCCTCTTCCTGAAGTAATGTGGCTGAAAGACGGAAAAGAAATTGACAAAGCCACACCAAGAATGGAGATCAAAAACACCCTCACTCATACAACTCTGACTGTCAGGGACTGTACACGAGTGGACGGGGGACATTTTGTCTTGAGCCTTAGTAACATAGGTGGAACAACATCTATTCCAGTTAATGTGAAGGTCCTGGATCGACCTGGTCCACCTGATGGACCTCTGAAGGTGAAAGTTGTCTCTGCAGAGAAGTGTAATCTTCACTGGAACCCACCCTTAAATGATGGAGGTGCCAGTGTTTCTCACTACATCGTTGAAAAAAGGGAGACCAGCCGTGTCACATGGACAGGGGTGGAAGCTCATGTAGAAGCTGTCAGTTACAAAGTGACCAAACTGGTACACGGGAAAGAATACATATTCAGAATTGCTGCTGTGAATAAATTTGGCGTTGGGGAATTTCTGGAATCAGAGCCATTCATTGCACAAAATCCTTTTACAACACCTAGTGCTCCTTCTACCCCTACTGCCAGCGCTGTGACCGGGGATTCTGTGGTGCTCACATGGGAAAGGCCTGAGACAGATGGAGGCTCAGAGATTGATGGATTCATCTTGGAAAAGCGTGACAAAGAGGGTGTCAGGTGGACTAAATGCAACAAGAGAAGAGTAAATGACCTGCGTTTCAGATGCACAGGGCTCGCAGAGGGACATTACTATCAGTTTAGAGTACTTGCAGAAAATGCTGCTGGTGTTGGTGCACCCAGTGAGCCAAGCGAGTATATAAAAATCTGTGAAGCTACTTACCCGCCTGGTCCACCCACAAACCCCAAAGTGACTGACTTTTCCAGCAGTACTGTCTCTCTGACCTGGTCAAAGCCTATCTATGATGGCGGAGCAGCCATCAGTGGGTTTGTAGTTGAGATGAAAGAAGCAGCAGATGATGAATGGACTGCATGCACACCAAGCACAGGTGTAGAGGACACAAACTACACTGTGCAAAGACTGAAAGAAAATGCAAAGTACAATTTTCGTATTCGTGCAATGAATGCTGCTGGAGTTGGAGAGCATGTGGATCTGCCTGGGCCTGTGGTTCCAGCTGAAAAATTAGAGGCACCAGAGATTGAACTGGACACTGCCTTGAGGAAGATTGTGAATGTTCGCACGTGTTCCACATTACGTCTGTTTGTTACAATCAGAGGAAGACCAGAACCTGAGGTTAAATGGTCAATGGAAGGCGGCACTCTCAGTGAGCGTGCTCAAATTGAGGTGGCAAGCTCCTACACTGTGCTGCTGATTGAGAACGTAAATAGAAATAACACTGGAAAGTATGTGTTGACAGCGGAAAACTGCAGTGGCGTTAAATCAGCCTTTATCAACGTCAGAATATTAGACTCTCCTAGTGCGCCTACAAACTTAGAGGTAAAGGATGTAAAGAGAGATTCTGTGTCCATCTCGTGGGAGCCACCCATCATTGATGGAGGAGCAAAGATTTCGCACTACATTGTAGAAAAGCGAGAGGAGGCCAGGAAGGCATTCACAAGCGTCTGTAGCAACTGTGTGAGGAATTCATATAAGATTGACAACCTGCAGGAAGGATGCTTCTATTATTTCCGTGTCCTGGCAGTGAACGAGTTTGGCACTGGACTGCCAGCAGAGACCGCTGACGCTGTTAAAGTGTCTGAGGTGCCTCTGCCTCCTGGCAAAGTCACACTCAGTGATGTCACTTCCAATAGCGCAAGACTGTCTTGGGAGAAGCCTGATCATGATGGAGGAAGCAAAATTACATGTTACATTGTAGAAATGCAAGCTAAGGGGGAGGACACATGGACAAAATGTTCAGAGAGCAAAGCATTAGAAGTGACCATCAACGGGCTGACCAAAGGAAAGGAGTATTTCTTTAGAGTGAGTGCTATGAATGAAAAAGGACAGAGTGAACCAAAGTCCCTGCTGGTACCTGTTACAGTAAAAGATACGAGTGCTGGGCCTGTTATTAATTTGCTGTCCAACTCATTTAGTGTGAAGGCGGGAAATGATTTAAAGATTGATGTTCCATACAAGGGTGCACCACCCCCAACAGTAGCCTGGAAGAGGGAGGGAAACCTGCTGAAAGAGACAAGCAGGGTGAATGTGCACACATCTGACACAGCATCTCAGATCATTATCAAAGATGCAACTAAGTTGGACGTTGGCGTGTATGAAGTGACCCTGACCAACTCTGTTGGAACCACATCTGCTGAAATCCTTGTGAATGTTTTTGAAAGACCTGGACCACCAAGTGACCTCAGTGTGGATGAAGTGAGTGTTGATTTTGTGTCTCTGTCATGGCAGCCCCCGCATTACACTGGTGGATGTCAAATCAGTAATTATGTTGTTGAGAAAAGAGACACAGGCAGCACAATATGGCAGACTGTGTCAGCCACAGTGGCAAGAACATCAATCAAAATTTCCCGTCTGACACAAGGCACTGAATACCAGTTTCGTATTGCTGCAGAGAATCGCTATGGAAAGAGTCACTTTATTGAGTCAGACCCTGTTGTTGCCCAGTATCCCTTCAAGCCACCTGGTTCACCAACTAACCTCCATGTTGTGCAGGCCTCAAAGTCTGTAATGGTCATTGCATGGAGCAAACCAGACAGTGATGGTGGCAGCCCCATTACTGGTTACCATATTGAATGCAAAGATCAAAGCAGTATTCTGTGGACAAAGTTAAACAGAGGCCCAGTGACTGAGAACCAGTACAAGGTAACAAGTGTTGAAGAGGGTCTGATATATGAGTTTCGGGTCTGTGCTGAAAATATAGCAGGTGTTGGACCGTGCAGTAAGGCCTCTGAGCCTGTAGCTGCAAGAGACCAGTGTGATCCCCCGTCCAACCTCGCAGTCACTAATATAACAAACACTTCAGTTTCACTCTCATGGGACAAACCAGAATATGACGGTGGGGCTAAAATAACGGGGTACATTGTTGAGCGCAAAGAATTGCCAGATACTCACTGGCTTAAGTGCAACTTCACAAACTTACTGGACACCTTTTTGGAAGTGACTGGACTGACGGAGGGTGAACAGTATGATTTTCGTGTTATTGCAAAGAACGCCGTTGAGCTCTTCAGTGCACCTTCTGAAACCACCGGACCTGTAACAGTACAGCATGACGTGGAGCCACCTAAAATTACCATGGAGGACAAATACAGACAAACAGTGGTTGTCAAAGCCGGAGAGCTCCTAAGAATAGATGGAAACATCTCTGGCCGCCCGAACCCAACAGTGTTCTGGTTGAAGAATGGCAGAAATATTGGCACCAAGGGAAGGGTTGAGATAACTGCAACTAAGATGCATACCTCTCTTCTAATCAGAGAGAGCGTGAGGAAAGACTCTGGACAGTACACACTGACTCTGCAGAACACAGGTGGCACCACATCTAAGACTGTAACCTGCAAAGTGCTGGACAGACCAGGCCCACCTGCTGGACCTCTGGAAGTGTCTGGACTGTCAGCAGAAAAATGCACCCTGTCATGGGGACCCCCTCATGAGACTGGCGGTGCCGAGGTCATGTACTACATTGTCGAGAAGTGTGAAACCAGCCGTGTTGCTTGGACCCTCGTGTATGGTGACATGATGGCAACTACTTGCAAAATAACCAAGCTGCTCAAAGGAAATGAATACCTGTTTAGGGTGAGGGCAGTGAACAAATACGGGGAGGGTGAGACTTTGGAAAGTGATCCAGTCAGGGCCACAGATCCCTTCACTATCCCATCTGCTCCAATGGATGTTGAGGTCACAAGTGCAACCAATGAAGCTATGACAATCTGCTGGAAGAGGCCTGTTACTGATGGTGGGAGCCGAATCAGCGGTTACATTATAGAGAAAAGGGATAAGCAGGGCGTCCGCTGGGTCAGGGTCAATAAGAAACCAGTCTACGACCTGCGAGCCAAAGCCTCTGGGCTGCATGAAGGATGTGAGTATGAATTCAGAGTGTTTGCTGAGAATGCCGCTGGGCTAAGTGAACCCAGTCTTCCATGCCCACTCACCCTGGCAGAGGATCCAAAGTTTCTACCTTCCCCTCCAGCAAAGCCCTCCATAGTTGATTCAACCAGGTCCTCCATTACTCTGTCATGGAACAAGCCGCTGTTCGATGGTGGAGCAGCAGTCACAGGATACAAAGTTGAATTCAGAAAATCAACGGAAGAAGACTGGAGTGTTGGTGTTAATAACACGGATAAGACGGAGTTTACAGTAACTGGACTGACAGCGGAGACAGAATATGTTTTTGTTGTCAGATCCATAAATAAGATTGGCACCAGTGAGCCCAGTCCTGAGACAGATCCTGAAGTAGCCATAGAGAGAGAGGAGGAGCCCAGGTTTGACATTAATCCTGAGATGAGGAAGACGCTGCTTGTTAAAGATGGCAGCTCCTTCACTTTAACTGTGCCTTTCACAGGCAAACCTCTCCCCAGTGTGTCATGGGAGAAGGCAGACGTGGATCTGAGAGTCAGAGGATTGATCAACACCACCAGCTCTGTCACCTCTATCACAGTGGAACGAGCAACCCGTGATGATTCTGGCAAATACACAGTGAAACTGCAAAATGTGGCTGGATCTGCCTCTTTGACCCTGAATGTGAGGGTTTTGGATTCACCAGGTCCACCAACTCACATAATAGTTAAAGACGTGACCAAGAACTCTGCCACTGTTACCTGGGACATCCCAGAGAACGAGGGAGGAGCCCCAGTGAAGAACTACCTTGTAGACATACGGGACATTAGCAGAGTGGGTTGGACAAGACTCACGGACAAATGTCGGCGATTGTCCTACAAGGTGTCTGACCTGGAGGAAGGAGGAATCTATTTCTTCAGAATCACCGCTGAAAACGAGTACGGCATTGGGGTTCCAGCTGAGACTAAAGAAGGAACGAAAATGATAGGTACGATGTCATAAAAAATGCATGAGTTACTGTATTTGGTATGAAAAAATACCTTTTCATGGGCACCTTATTCTTTATTGTACAAACTATTTTACCAGTACTTCTGTTTTTCTTTCTTTCTTTCTTTCTTTCTTTCTTTCTTTCTTTCTTTCTTTCTTTCTTTCTTTCTTTCTTTCTTTTTATTCCAGATACGACAGATTGGGAAACAAACGCAGGAGCTTAGCTTGTCTCCTTCCCAAAGAGAGTCATCTCCAGATCATCGATCATCTCCAAAATCTACATGGATTTCTGATCTACAATACATTGGGTTTTGTTTTAGGTAGATAGTTATAAATATTTGTGCTTTTAGGTCACTGAAAAAATATTTTATCAGTAAGTCAATGCACTATTATTTAATACATTACCAATAGCTGCTGTTTTGCAGGGATATTATCATGTTGTTTTTATTTTTTACTTTTAAAATGTTTATTAACTAGTGAACATAATGAATGGCAGATGTTATATATAGAAGACAAATACATTGATGTTGCTGTTTGCAGTAAAAGTACAATAAAATGAAGATGATATGAAAAGTTTTATCTTGGATAATTGTGCTTTTAACAGTGGACGGTATGCTGAGAGTCTAAAAATAATACTGTCAAAGTGTAGTACTGGACCCAGAAGCAAATACCTCGGCAGGAGTTGGGTGGAAAGGTGTATTGGGGAATGGTGGAATAGGTGAGGGAGGCTGGCTGACAGAAGATAGAGTCTTTGTCGAGGTGGTAGAGGTGAAGTGGGCTTGAGCAGGGAGGGTCTTGCAAGTTGTGATGTTTTTTCCAGAGATGTAGCACGGGGGAAACAGTGAGCATAAAATAACCTGCATAAAAAGACAGTGTTCAATGCAAACAAAACTTCACCACAGATATATAGGAGAATTGACAAATCTACTATCTGACAGGGATAATTGACAAACCAGCAAAGAGTGACTGGTGAACTGGTGTTACATACTGGAAGGGGTGATTACAGCGATGGAACATTTACTTGTTTACTGCAAAATTTGAGGACAACAGTTAAATACTTCCTTTAGGGTTTTATTTTATTTATTTATTTTTGCCTACAGCAAGCCTGTAAAGTGATTATTATATCATTAGAGAAGAGATAGCACAATTGTTAGACCAGGAAGTTCTGAAATGTATGCGATGACGATACTCCTTATACTTCAATATATTTTCTGTACAAGTTTTGCATTTAAATTCTTGAATTCAGTGTCTTTAGTTAGTCCATCCTGAATGGAAAACTCTTTATAACACCCTCAAGTAAACAGCAAAAGAAAAGAAAAAGTTTGCATTTGTAAATTCTTATAAAAACGCTCAGACTTATTGTGTATCATTAAAATATGACTTAAAACATTAAAAAAAACATTTCTTTTGATTTCCTCATACCAATAAAATGATTTAAATGCTATTAAAATATTCACAAGGCTGAGAAAAGCCCTGAAATGAAAACTGATGGGTGTCCAGGAGTCAGAGGCGAATTGTGTGTGTGTGTGTGTGTGTGTGTGTGTGTGTGTTACATAATTATGTTATCAATAATGTAGTAATGAAATGAATGAAAAATACTTTATTTATCCCAGAAGGGAAATTCAATTATAGTAATAGTAAAATAAAAGGTACAATATTGCCTTCTGAAATGAAGTGGAATAGAAATAAAAAATGTCATATAAGTATCTCAAATTTGTACTTAAGTACAATACTTGTGTAAATGTAGTAAATTACATCCCATCACTTCATATTAACTGTTTTGTAATACAGAAAATACCCCGAAAATAGCTTTTAAAAGTAGTTCTACGAGCGAACTAGAAACACGAACGGAACTAATGAGTCAGTTGTTTTAAACTAGTGACCTGTGTCCAAATAAAGGAGCTTTTGAATGTAACAGGACAAAGTTTAGCACAACTTATCTGTCACCTGTTGGCTCTTCGTGGCGCTGTTTCTTATGGCGTCACCATAGAAACCGTTACGTAGCTCCACTGAGGAGGAACGCGCTTGGCAGAAACCGGAAGCGAGCAATGCAACACCTTCTAGCTGCTCAGTAGTTCGGTGGCTAACTGTTTACAACAACAAAAAACACACTTTGGAGTCCGAATTTTCGGAATGGGAACTACGGCGAGTCAACTTGGGAAGGATGTGCTGTCAGAATACCAAGTAAGTGGCCAAAATAAACTCTCCAAAAAACATTAGTTTTATTGTTTCCGACGTCAACCGAAGTTGAGAGCTGTAGTTTTGACGCCCCGTAATAACCGAGGATAACGCAATGGTGTGTTCGTCTAACGTTTTAAGTGGAAATAAAACTATGAGAGACTTTTCGTCCGGGGAAAAAACAGTACGATTAAGTATTTTAGTCGTTTTTTTGTGTGTGTCAGTAGTAGCTTTACTGAAAACGAGTTGTCCTCACGCGTTTTAACAAAATAAAAGCTAATGTTGTTGCTAATGTTAAATACTCTTCCTCATATAATCACTCCAGTGTGGAACAAAGCGCTGTTTGAAGTTTTTCAGTGATTGTTTTCGTTCTAACAATACGTATACTTACTTTCAGGAGCTGACCTTCCTGACCAAACAAGAAATTCTTCTGTAAGTGATCAAACTCACTCCACAAAGCGAGTTACCAACTGAATGAACGCATCTAAACCCACCACTGATTATCTCCTATTTGACTTGTTGCTTCTGTTTTTAGTGCACACAAGAGATTCTCTGAACTGCTCAGTAAAGAGGAGAGAGACCGTCCAGACACCAGAGTACCGATGGAGAAGATTCTTACTCTGCCTGAGCTCAAGGTGAATATTTATTTTATAGTAAAACAGAATAAATTGTTGTTGCGAGGTTTTCTTCATGGTTAGTGTTGGTTGTTCTCTGTATAAAGGATTATCCTGGGATTTCTGTTCTGGAGGAAGTGCTACACTTACTGATAAAGTGTACTGACCTTTGTACTTGTTCCACAGTCCAACCCTTTCAGGCAAAGAATCTGCCAGGTGTTCTCGACATCTGACCGGAAAGATGGAAGCCTCACATTCGAAGACTTCCTGGATCTTCTAAGTGCCTTCAGTGACTCCGCTACTCTGGAAATCAAATCCCACTATGCATTCCGTATATTTGGTAAATAAGTTGATAAAACATGAGTTGGTAAATTGTTCACGTGAGAACATCAATCTGTGTAACCACTACTTTGATATTTTCAGACTTTGATGACGATGGAACCCTCGACACTGGCGATCTGGAGAAGCTGGTTAACTGCTTGACCGGTGAAACGGATGAGACAAGACTAACCACTGATGAAATGAGACAGCTGATCAACAATGTGAGTTCGCTGAGACTTCCTCTCTTAGAACTTATAGTGAAGCACAGTGGTATACTAATGTTTTCTTTGCGTGTTGTTTAGATTCTGGAAGAGTCAGACATCGACAAGGACGGAACCGTGAACCTCTCAGAGTTTCAGCATGTTATTTCAAGATCGCCAGATTTTGTCAGGTAACTAGAAATTCAATTGCTCTGATCACTGATGTGTACGATTACTTGGGACAGTTTTGGGTGCCCTAACAGTTTCTATTATTATTTCATTTCTCCACAGTTCTTTCAAGATTGTGCTGTGAAGACCTCTAATGGACTGTGGAAATGCATCAGCCTTTAATTCTCATACTGTGGTGTTTAATTTTAAGTAAGAATTTTAAATACCTGCCTTAAATTATACTTGCCTGTGGATTTTACTGCCTTAAATGTTTTATGTAGCATTTGTGAGAAATAAACCCCCTTTTTTAACATCTGTAAGAAAAATAAAAACTTTACAAAAAAAGCATTCACTTACCAAAGTTATTTTTATGCAGACATACAAACGAACAAACAAAAACATATAAATATATTTAAACCAAAGTGTCCATGTACTTGATGGGATAATTTACACTTCCTGGTATGCCGTCCAAAGTATACAGTGCGTGTTTATCGGGGCGATTCTGTTGGATTTTTCAGGGAAGCTACTTCCTCCTTGACTACAGCAGCGAAGGTGTTCCAGGCCCCACAAACGACATCAACCACACGCATCCGCTCCAACCTGAAAAACTCCACACGCTGCGGCTCATCTGAACTGATCAATGTTTGATGTCCGAGTTGGCCGTATTCACCTAAAACAGGAAACACAAGCAAACACGAGCAGAAATGTTGCTACGTTTCGGTTTGATTTTATTGACATTGGGAGTGTTTTATTTGGAGTAAAATCAAACTTACCCCATCCCCAAGTGTAGAGGTCACCTGTGGCTGAAGTTAGAACATTTAGGTTAAACACTACAATAACACTGATACGCCAAAAAAATGTGCATCATTGTCACTGTCAGAAGAGATTTCTTACTTGTTATTGCAGCTGTGTGCCGGGAGCCGCAGCTGACTGTCCTGATTTCACATGATGGAGTGACATCCATCAGAGCTGGGAAAGCCTGGATTGATATGAATACCTCTTCATGTTTCTCTCCCTCCTGTGGCTCTTTACTGGGAGATGTGTTGACACCTTGGTGCAATTCTCCTGTTTAATACAGTCAATGTATGCCAAAATTTTATTACTTAAAACATTATTTTTTAAGTGTTTTCAGTAAGTGCCATACCAGACGACAAACAGAACATTACATTATAATTACGGGGGTGGTTCATTATTGTGAAGCCTTGACAATGGTGAACAGATTCTTCTGTTGTTCAGAGGTAAACACTAGGCGAGCGTCATTCATAGATACTAATTCTTTGACAATGTTTACATTGAAACATAAGATCATGCAAGTATAATACATTCCACACAGGAAACTGAGCCTGGATGCTTCCCTGTGGTTAGATACACTGCAGCAAGTCACACAAAAATGCTTGGGTTCATAAAATGCCTTTTTGTCGTGCTTTTCAAATACTGCTCAACTGATTATGACAGGGCAAACCTGTTAGTTGGCTACTTTTCTCTTGTGATGCTTTCCTCAGAGCTCGTGAGGGAAGTCCAAGCTGGCCACTCTCATTCCAGCCCCACACGTAAAGGTCACCCCCGTCTGCAAAGAAAGGGTAATTTAAATCATTTTTTATTGCTGATCTAACCCTTGGCACTGCCCACATCTTCATTTGGCACTGACCACTAATGCAGACAGAGTGCCAGCCTCCTGAAGCCACAGAGCTCATCGGCATCCCCCAGAGTGCCTCCACCGCCCTGGGCTCCTCCTCAGAGGTGAGGCCTCCATGCCCCAGCTGACCATGGCTGTCAAATAAACACATGCACACAGAAAAAGATCAACACAAGCTTAGTGCTCTGATTGGTGTTAAAGACAGATGTGTGTGCTTTAGCTCTACCTGCCCTGTCCCCAGGTGTACACAGCTCCAGTGGCAGTGAGAAGGATGGCATGTTCACCACCCAGTGCCATGCTCCTGGCTTTCAGGTGTGGCGACAAGGGGCAGTAGAAGGGAGGTTTTGAGGTTACATAACCCCCAGGCACCAATGGGAAATTCACAGCTGTAACAGAAAGTGTACAGTTAAGCTTCTGTCATTGCATTCAGCTAATTTCTGATGCCTGACAACTGCTAAAGACATTACCAGAGCCCTCTGACTGAGGTTTTATCTCCATGCTCCATGATGGAGTCTTCTCTTTCTTCTGCAGATCCCAGAATTCAATCCTGTCTGGGAACGCGAGGGTCAAGTGTGACTCACTGATGAATGCATCTTTACAGCCACGGCTCTCTAGTGTAGAAGTGTCACAGGACTCACTGGAGTTGGATGTCCCGAAACCTGCCAGGGACACACAGCTGTCTTCTGACAGGGCAAAATAAAACATGAGTCAGGTGGGTTTCATTTGAACACTAGGGGAGGACACATTATGCAGGGGGTGTTGGGGTGCTTCCCCAGGATTTTCTAAGTGTCAAACACTTAATTTCTTATAATCTGGTAAATTTTTGCACACTCATTTATGGCAGAAATACCTTAATTTAGTTTGAGGAAAACATAAAATTTTGGCACCAATTCAAAATACAACATAATGTGAAACAGAAACTCTGTCCTGTAGATCAACTTTTCTTATGTCATAGCTCCCTGCTGAGTCAAAACACATATAGGCAAGAATTATACTTTGTAGGGGTCGACTGATTTTTGGCCAGGGCAATTACTGGATCAGATTTTCACTATTGTTATTTTTTTGAACACATTTCTGACTCTCTGTCTCCTGTCAGCACTCTGTGGTCTTGAGCCATCTCCCACACAGCACTATGTGATTGGTTACATGTCATGAGTGACAACCAA